AGAAGAAGAAGAAAAAGTACACATTCCAGCAGTCTGTCACGGATATCTAAGTTCTGTTGTTATTTGGTGCTGTCTGCGAATGGTTGGAACTGTTTGCCTAAACAAGCTGTGAGTGTAAGAATAACTCATACTTGGTCTGGACGCCTCAGGGCTGTATACAAGTAAAGGTTCTTTTTACACGCCTTAAGGTGTATAGGGCTAGACCTATATTTTTATAAACCAATCGGCACAAGATGTGTGATGTGGTCAACGGTATGAACGAGTTTATTAACGTCGCGTGGGGACACGGGGACTGGAAATAGCTAGCGGGTGGATCGTCTCTGCGCCATGTAGCTATGGTACCAGTTAGGACCGCCTTGTGAGCTGGGAGTTCGTCTCCTCTCGCCGGGCTTGAGTGGGTGACTCAACTTGCACCCACTTTCATGGCTTTCTGTGGCCAGCGCACGTAGTGGTACATCTCAGGATTGTTGGATGGGAAAAATTTTGGTAGTTAGGCCTGTACAGTGTGGGAACTATGCCGGCAGTCAGGTCTGTACAGTGTGGGAACTATGCTGGCAGTCAGGTCTGTACAGTGTGGAAACTATGCTGGCAGTCAGGTCCGTACAGTGTGGGAACTATGCTGGCAGTCAGGCCTGTACAGTGTGGGAACTATGCTGGCAGTCAGGTCCGTACAGTGTGGGAACTATGCTGGCAGTCAGGCCTGTACAGTGTGGGAACTATGCTGGCAGTCAGGTCTGTACAGCGTGGAAACTATTCTGGCAATCAGGCCCGTACAGTGTGGGCACTATGCCGGCAGTCAGGTTTGTACAGTGTGGGAACTATGCTGGCAGTCAGGTCTGTACAGCGTGGGAACTATTCTGGCAATCAGGCCCATACAGTGTGTGTTTTTTTTTTATGAGTATTTGTATATGTGTGTGTCTCTGTGTTTATACGTGTGTTTTTAAGTATCTTTATGTGTGTGTGCATTTATGTGTCTTTTTAGTTTGTCTGTGTGTGTTTATGTCTTTATGTTTATGTATTTGTTTGTGCACCTCTGTGTTATTGTGTGTTGTATATTTGTTTATGTTTGTGTGTTTATGTATCTGTAGGTTTATGTGTGTGTTTTTGTGCCTGTATGTGTTATGTGTAAGTGTATGTTTGTGTTTATGTTTGTTTATTTATGTTTGTGTCGGCGTGTGCTGTGTGTATTTGGGTTTATGTTTGTATTTATGTTATGTGTGTTTGTGTATGTGTATATTATTTGTTTAGTGCTACTGTGTATGTTTGTGTATTTGTAATTATGTGTGTTTGTATCTGTGTGTTGTTATGTTTATGTTTGTGTATGTTTATGTGTGTTATGTGTTTGTGTGTTTATGTGTCTTTGTATTTATGTCTGTGTGTGTTTATGTCCGTGGGTATTACGTGTCTTTGCGATTATGTGTGTATTTATATGTCTTTGTTTATGTGTGGGTGTTTATGTCTTTTTGTGTGTGTTTGTATGGCTCTGTTTATGTGTGTTTATTTGTCTTTGTGTTTTTGTGGGTGTGTTTATGTGTTATGTGTCTTTATGTTTATGTGTTATGTGTCTTTATGTTTATGTGTTATGTGTCTTTATGTTTATGTGTTATGTGTGCTTTATGTTTATGTGTTAGTGTGTCTTTATGTTTATGTGTTATGTGTCTTTATGTTTATGTGTTATGTGTCTTTATGTTTATGTGTGTAGTGTGTGTCTTTATGTTTATGTGTTATGTGTAAAGTTTATGCTTTATGTGTTATGTGTCTTTATGTTTATGTGTTATGTGTCTTTATGTTTATGTGTTATGTGTCTTTATGTTTATGTGTTATGTGTCTTTATGTTTATGTGTTATGTGTCTTTATGTTTATGTGTTATGTGTCTTTATGTTTATGTGTTATGTGTCTTTATGTTTATGTGTTATGTGTCTTTATGTTTATGTGTTATGTGTCTTTATGTTTATGTGTCGTTGTTTATATGTGTGGCATTGTGTGTCTTTGTGTTTGTGTCTGTGTGTTATGTGTGTTTGTGTATATGAATGTGTTTATATGTGTCTGTTTCTGTGTGTGTTATGTGTCTGTTTCTGTGTGTGTTATGTGTCTTTTTTATCTGTGTGTGTTATGTGTCTTTTTTATCTGTGTGTGTTATGTGTCTGTTTCTGTGTGTGTTATGTGTCTTTTTTATCTGTGTGTGTTATGTGTCTGTTTCTGTGTGTGTGATGTGTCTGTTTCTGTGTGTGTTATGTGTCTGTTTCTGTGTGTGTTATGTGTCTTTTTTATCTGTGTGTGTTATGTGTCTTTTTTATCTGTGTGTGTTATGTGTCTGTTTCTGTGTGTGTTATGTGTCTTTTTTATCTGTGTGTGTTATGTGTCTGTTTCTGTGTGTGTTATGTGTCTGTTTCTGTGTGTGTTATGTGTCTGTTTCTGTGTGTGTTATGTGTCTGTTTCTGTGTGTGTTATGTGTCTGTTTCTGTGTGTGTTATGTGTCTGTTTCTGTGTGTGTTATGTGTCTGTTTCTGTGTGTGTTATGTGTCTTTTTTTATCTGTGTGTGTTATGTGTCTTTGGTAATGTGTGTTTTTATATGTCTTTGTGGTACTTATCATGAATCTGTCCGCACAGTGAGAGTTGCTTCCCCTCCCATTCATTCCGTGGCGGGTCACACACATCTCCTATGTTGTGATAAGTATTATGTATTCCGTATTTTCAACGGGTTTCAGCGGTGCCTCAAAGAGACTCATGCCATCGCAACCTCCCACAAATATTAATGGTGAGCGAACGCTCAACAAAGCCATCGCATAACACCCCACAATATAGGACAGGCCCTGTGACCCGCCGCGGCATGAATGGGAGGGGAAGGAACTCTCACCTTGCTGGACAAATTTGTGAAAAGTTCCGTCTTTGTTCATATGTTTATGTCTTTTTTTAAATGTGTGTTTTTGTGTCTCTTTGTTTATTTGTGTGTTTATGTCTTGTGTGTGTGTGTTTATATGTGTGTTGTATGTTTATGTATGTTTGTGTCTGTGTGTGTGTTGTATATCTTTCCGCTTATTTGTGTGTTTATATGTGTTCGTTTGTTGACATATGTGTGTATGGACAGTGTTTCCATCTCGTTCCATGCTATTTATCCATGTCACTCTCCTCTCTTTACCTCCACCACCCCCTCTCTTCACCCCATCCTCCTCTCTTTGCCCCCACAACCCCCTCTGTTCATCCCCACCCTCCTCTCTTTACCTCCACCACACCCTCTCTTCACCCCCATCTCTCCTCTTTTCCCTTCCACCACCCCCATCTCTTCATCCCCACCCTCCTCTCTTCCCCTCCACCACCCCCTCTTCCCCTCCACGACCCCCTCTCTTCACCCCACCCTCTTCCCCTCAACCACACCCTCTCTCTGAAACATGTTTATTTATTCCTCAGAATGTCACCATCACTGTGACACGACCTGGCCAACAACTCAATAACATCAACAAAAATCGGCACTACATCAGTACAACATCAGTGTAAAATTTATGTTAACATGCCAGGTGTGTCCCGTATCCCCTAGCATCAACACACAGAATTCAGCCTTATGCACCAGCTATCCTGTAGAGTCAACAGACCATTGGTTCTCTTGCGCTTTATGCGAAATTCTACATTAATTAACTGAGAGCTGTAGTTAATTCTGGTGTTGGCAATACTGAGGCTGCTGAGCTCGTTGTATGAAGATGTTACCGTGTGATGTGACAGTGGACTGTGTCTGGCAGGAAGCTTTCAGGTGGTGCGACTGATAGCTGGCACTAGTAGGCAGGGGGCTACGTTGAATTGTCATACATACAGGAATATTTTATATGGAAAACTGAGCATCGTAATATGTTTGTTGTGCTGAAGATGATCACTGGTATTACGAGAATAGTGTTTGTTTGATTCTGTGTGCCTCGGACACCCTATTGTTATTCATATATAGATACTTTCTGCCATAGGTAGACCGGGGGTTTTCTCCCATAAATCTAGACGTGCAAGTAAACACTGTTGTGTGGGAGATGTATACATGAAGTGAGTCATGCGGACAGAGAACAGTGTAGACCAGTAATTCCAGAAAAGAATGTATTTTGTAACTGATATTATAGTTCGTCAGTTATCACAATTGATACATACTAGTAGTCGCCACAAAGCTATGTTGTAGTTGATCACCTTATCACCAGGGATGCCCTCACTAGTCGCCCCAAGGCTATGTTACTGCATCTATCAGAAACACCAGCAGGCCCTTCACTTTACCCTGAGTTGAGCATGACTGAGGTAGGATGGAGTTGAAACCCTCATAACATAATACTGTTATCTGGCTTCTGGGAAGTTATGACAATATCACCTGGTTCGGCGGTGTCTGTGGTGCCTTTTCTACTTCATCACCTGGGATCAGTGACAGGTCTGCTTTCTAGGTCTCTGACAGTTGGTCAGTCAAAGGTGGACACACTAGCAGCCATGTTTTGCTCCGTGCTTCTGTGTGTGCGGAGTACTGTATGACCTTCTACAACTGTCTGACTTGCTGTTTGTGCGGGGTAGTGTCTGACTTGCTACAACTGTCTGACTTGCTGTTTGTGCGGGGTAGTGTCTGACTTGCTACAACTGTCTGAGTTGCTGTGTACAACATACAGATAAGCAAAGCTAACATATGCCCAGCAGAAAGTCACAGTACATGAAAGGGCAGATCTCGACAACAGACATCCGTGTATCATTGCTACCGGGACAATCCAAATTCTAGGGCTGACAGAGATCTAGAGCACCCGAATGCAGCTACAGCCACCAGTATCTAGTTGTAGTGGCTTGCTGCAACCTTGGTCGACTGTTGGTTGTCTGCTGAATAAGATGAAAGATAACCAGACACGAGCTAAAGGAAAACCAGACATTTCTCCATGTTCCAGTGACAAGCAAGTTGTTCACCAGAGCTGTATTAGTCTCGTTCGTAAACCGTGCATGTGTGTACAAGCCCCATAAAACAGGTAAACGTCGATGCTTGAGCGAAAGAGGCCGCATGGCGGAGGCGGAGCCGACAACTCTGGGTCCCGCCCGGATACCGCGAACCTATTTTGAGATATTGTCTGCAACATTGCCCATGGTTGCCATCACCGTGATCACCATTTCGGCCAATGGCGCCATACTGGCCATGTTTTTAAGCAGACGGGCCCTGCGAAGATGCAAAAATGTGTATTTCATGAGCTTGGCGTTTTCAGATTTTCTGGTGGGGTTGTCGATGCCCTACAAGTTGACGCGAGATCTGCACCGCAGCTGGGACACCGGTTGGGGTTGTCGAGTCTATCAAACTGTCAAACAGTCACTAGCCTACGCGTCGTTTCTCAGCATATTTCTCATAACTGTGGACAAATGGCGGGCCATGCACTACCCTTTGTCTTACAGACAACGAAATACAAAATACAGGGCGTTATCTGCAGTTATTTTGATTTGGTGTATCAGTTTCTTCATCTTTAGCCTTCCCCAAATCTGGTGGGAGGAGCACCTAGAGGCATGGAGGTCCAGCTCGGGCCACACAGCCAAACTGATGTCTCTAGACAACAGCGTGACCAACATGCCGGGGTTTGAGCTGCCAACAGCCTTCCCGAGAACTTCTCACAAGACACACGCCTGCAGACACCAGAGGAAGGGGCATCAGTGGGCACATTGGGTGTCTGTCCTGAAGGATATCAGCTGAGTCTAACGCTGACCATATTTTCGGCCACCTGTTATTTGTTGCCAGTCGCCGCCATGTTGATTTTTGACATCATTCTCTACCTGAAAATTAAGCGGAGGAAAAGTGTGGAAGTTCAAAGGTCAACCAGTGTCACAGATACATATTTTATGACCTTGAAGAGGCCAGCTATGGAATTATCGGAAAGCTGCAGGTCTCTGGCTGGCGACGACGACGCGTCTAAAGAGCTGTTGCTAAAAAACTCAGAGACTCGACCTTTCAATAAACACTTGGCGCTGGGCAGTCGAGGCGAGAGGCGGCACAGCTCCTTGCCTTCCATCTCTCCCATTCTCAAAGGCAGAACTTCCAGCGGTCGAAGGGTTTCGATGCCAGAAAGTAACGCCGGCGCCTGTCGCTACGTCGGCCGCAAATGGTCGGGTTGCGCTGCTTCCCTGGACTAACAACCAACCTGCCAACCCAATGGCCAACCTGGCACCTCGCCTACACACAGAGGACATGGTTCATGACATTTTAGTGAAACAAGATAAGAGGACAACCCTATGTTTGTGTCTGATGTTAGTGCTGTTGATTGTCTGTTGGCTGCCTCATGCTGTGGTCAGCATCTTAAATGCTAGTTGCTGGTGTTTTTTCGGAGCCACACTGACGACCACCTCGTGGCTCTACCAACTAGACCATGCTCTGAACCCGTTTCTCTATGGCATCATGTATGTTCAGTTCAAAAATGTGCTCAAACAATGGCTTTTCATAGAACGAGTGCACGCCTTCAAGATGAGAGACACGCTGATACTGAGGAACTTACAGAGAAAGTTTGATGCAGAAGAAAATCACGCAGAGAACAGTCCTAGTGCCCCAGCTCGCTTCAACCACTTTCGATCCCTCCCGGATGACGTCACAGACAGACCTCACATTGGACGATGCAGACAATACTCTGTTATAATTGGGGACAAAGACATCGGGAGCAATAACATAACACATATCTGTTATAATTGGGGACAAGGACATCGGTAGCAATAACATAATACATATCTGTTTTAATTGGGGACAAGGACATCAGTAGCAGTAACTTAACACATATCTGTTATAACTGGGGACAATGACATCGGTATCAATAACATAACACATATATGTTATAATTGGGGACAAGGGACGTGGTAGGATAACATAACTTTGTGTAGCTGGGGCAGGGTTTTCGGTTAGAACATAATTCTTTTACAGTCTGGGCAGAGTCGTCGATTGCGATAACATAGTTATGTTATAGTTATGACAGCGACAGGAATAATATTAACTATAAAACTGAAAATGCATGTGTGTGTCTGTCTTCATACATCTGTGCCACAAGAACTTCCGCCAAACGGGGACACCACTCAGTGACTCACTCACAGTTACCATCCAATTACTTACTTATCCTCCACCTCAGGGACTCACTCACCGTGACCATCCATCCAGTTACTTATACATCCTCCACTCAGTGACTCACTTACATTTACCATCCAGTTAATTATACATCCTCCACTCAGTGACTCACTTAAATTTACCATCTAGTTACTTATACATTCTCCACTCCGTGACTCATAGCTACCATCAAGTTACTTACATATCCTCCACTCTGTGACTCACAGCTACCATCAAGTTACTTATACATTCGTCGCTCAGTGACTCACTCACCGCAGCTATCCATTTACTTACACATCCTCCACTCTGTGACTCACAGCTACCATCCAGTTACTTACACATTCTCTCCTCAGTGACTCACTTAAATTTACCATCCAGTTACTTATACATCCTCCACTCCGTGACTCACTTACAGCTACCATCGAGTTACTTACATATCCTACACTCAGAGACTCACTCACAGCTACCATCCAGTTACTTACATATCCTTCACTCAGTGACTCACAGCTACCATCAAGTTACTTACACATTCGTCGCTCAGTGACTCACTCACCGCAGCTATCCAGTTACTTACACATCCTCCACTCTGTGACTCGCAGCTACCATCCAGTTACTTACACTTCCTTCCCTCTGTGACTCACAGCTACCATCCAGTTACTTACACATTCTCCCCTCAGTGACTCACTTAAATTTACCATCTAGTTACTTACACATCCTCCCCTCTGTGACTCACAGCTACCATCCAGTTACTTATACATCCTCCACTCAGTGACTCACTTAAATTTATCATCCAGTTACTTATACATCCTCCACTCAGTGACTCATTTACAGCTACCATCAAGTTACTTACATATCCTCCACTCAGTGACTCACTTACAGCTACCATCAAGTTACTTACATATCCTCCACTCAGAGACTCACTCACTGCTACCATCCAGTTACTTACATATCCTCCACCCTGTGACTCACTGCTACCATCAAGTTACTTACATATCCTCCACTCAGTGACTCACTTACAGCTACCATCAAGTTACTTACATATCCTCCACTCAGAGACTCACTCACAGCTACCATCCAGTTACTTACACATTCTCCACTCTGTGACTCACAGCTACCATCCAGTTACTTACACATTCTCCACTCTGTGACTCACAGCTACCATCCAGTTACTTACACATCCTCCACCCTGTGACTCACAGCTACCATCCAGTTACTTACACATTCTCCACTCTGTGACTCACAGCTACCATCCAGTTACTTACACATTCTCCACTCTGTGACTCACAGCTACCATCCAGTTACCTACACATTCTCCACTCTGTGACTCACAGCTACCATCCAGTTACTTACACATCCTCCACTCTGTGACCCACAGCTACCGTCCATATACTTACACATTCTCCACTCTGTGACCCACAGCTACCGTCCATATACTTACACATTCTCCACTCTGTGACTCACAGCTACCATCCAGTTACTTACACATTCTCCACTCTGTGACTCACAGCTACCATCCAGTTACTTACACATTCTCCACTCTGTGACTCACAGCTACCATCCAGTTACTTACACATTCTCCACTCTGTGACCCACAGCTACCATCCAGTTACTTACACATTCTCCACTCTGTGACTCACAGCTACCATCCAGTTACTTACACATTCTCCACTCTGTGACTCACAGCTACCATCCAGTTACTTACACATCCTCCACCCTGTGACTCACAGCTACCATCCAGTTACTTACACATTCTCCACTCTGTGACTCACAGCTACCATCCAGTTACTTACACATTCTCCACTCTGTGACCCACAGCTACCGTCCATATACTTACACATCCTCCACTCTGTGACCCACAGCTACCGTCCATATACTTACACATTCTCCACTCTGTGACTCACAGCTACCGTCCATTTACTTACACATTCTCCACTCTGTGACTCACAGCTACCATCTAGTTACTTACACATTCTCCACTCTGTGACTCGCAGCTACCGTCCATTTACTTACACATTCTCCACGCAGTGACTCACTTACCGCTATCATCCAGTTGCTAACCAGGAGTCACAAGTTTGTGGACTGTCCGACATACAAGCCACATTGTCTCTGGTCAGTTTGAGTCTCTGATAACTGTTCCAGGCAGCTTGACTTCGATACAGTAGGTTGAGGCCGAGCATGGGAACACTTGAGCTCACCACACTGGCTAAAAGAGCCACATACAACAGAAGTAGGTGGAAGTTTAAAACCGGACTGACGTGTCCGTAGAATGTCTAGTCTAGGTGCTGGAGTTTGAGACGAGTACAGCTGTTTACACCTGTCACATCCGAGTGCCGTTAAAGAACAGGCAGTTTGGATTGGGCCTACCTGTATGTGAATTTTCTTTATGTTATCCAGTTTGTGATTATGTGAATGTGTTTAGCTAACCATGCTCATGTGGCTGTTGTGCACAGCACATTCAGTTTTGAGCACGGCCAATGGTCCATGTTTGTTACAAATCTAGTGTTTGCGTCTTTTTGTCGTTTTGTGATCACAGAAATGTGTATGATATTCTATTACTAGACACCGTTTCTGTATATTCGTATTCCACATGATTTTATTCAATAAATTTCTCAAAATGTATAACAGCTATTGTCGCGTTATTTGTTGCATTTCCTAGTTCTTTGCTTTCAAATGTCCCGATCCTTCCCTCTCCTTCTTAACTCCTTATCGCTTCCTCTTGCTCATTCTCTCTCACTAGTTAGTCTGTGGGACTTTGCTTACTGTTGACTTCGGCACAATGCGCTATTGTCGCTGTCACGATTGTTTATTGTTGACTTCGGCACGGGCTACTAGTATCACCGCCACGATTGTTCACTGTTGACTTCGGCACAGGCTACTAGTATCACCGCCACGATTGTTCACTGTTGACTTCGGCACAGGCTACTAGTATCACCGCCACGATTGTTGACTTCGGCACAGGCTACTAGTATCACCGCCACGATTGTTGACTTTGACACAGGCCACTCTTATCACCCCCTCCCCCACGATTGCTCACGTTTGACCTCGGCACAGGCCACTATTGTCGCTGTCACAATTGTTCACGGTTGACCTCGGCACAGGCCACTACTGTCGCTGTCACAATTGTTCACTGTTGACTTCGGCAATAGAAAGGTCGTTCAATTTGCTATAAGAAAGGTTAAGCGTGACCTTGGATACCATGTTACCTTGACCTCAAAAAAGGATAAAAGGTGCTTGCAGTGTCGGAGAATCGGAACTTTGGGGGGAAAAAACACTTTGAAAGTTAAGGTCAAAGTTAAGGTCATCGGTAGATAGGTCGTGACCTCGGCTACAAGCGTGACATTGGCTAGAAGGAACGGTTGACTTTGTAAAATTCGAAAAATGAAGACAACCGGGGGAGAAGTTGAACCTAGTTCCCACGGGAGAAGTTGAACCTAGGTCCCACGAGAGAAGCTAAACATAGGTCCCACGGGAGAAGTTGAACCTAGGTCCCACGAGAGAAGCTAAACATAGGTCCCACGAGAGAAGCTAAACATAGGTCCCACGAGAGAAGCTAAACATAGGTCCCACGAGAGAAGCCAACCCTGGGTTCCACGAGAAAAACTAAGCCTGGGTTACGCGAGGTTATTCGAGTTTTTCAGCAGTAAAAGGGGATTTTGAAGGCCAAGGTTTTGGGTTAGGTTAGGGTTTAGGGTTAGGGTTAGGGGTTAGGTTTTGGTTTAGGGTTAGGGTAGGGGCAGGGTTCAGGGTTTAGGTTTAGGGTTCGGTTTTAGGTTATGGTTAGGTTTTAGGTTAGGGTTAGGTTTGGGGTTGGGTTAGGGTTTGGTTAAGGGTTTGGGATAGGGTTTAGGCTTAGGTCTAGGGTTTTAGGGCTGGGGTTGGTTTAGGGTTAGGGTTTTATAGGACAATGGACTCTCAATTAGCTCCAAAATCGAGTTTTTCAGCATTATGTTTAAGGTCAAGTTCAAGGTCATTTGTAGAAAGAGCGTTCGATTGTGTAAAAGAAAGGTACGGGTCACGTTGAGAAAATCGGGACTTTAAAAAAAAAACCTTACTGTTTTGCCTTAGGGCTGTGCTGAGAGTCGAGTTTGCAAAAGTCGAATTTGCTTGAAAAAGTCTACTTTGCTAAAAGTCTACTTTGTCGAAAAGTCGACTTTGTCACACCCTTAGGGTTTTTCCAAAAGTCTAGCTTGCCACGCCCCTAGGTGATAGGGTTAGTTCTCCCGCGTGACCTGGGTTATTTTCTCTTGCGTGACCTAGTTTTAACCTCTCTCGTGGATCTATGTTCAACCTCTCTCGTGGGACAAAGGTTTGACCCCTCTCGCGTGACACAGGTTTGACTTCTCTCGTGGGACTTAGGTTTAACTCCCCCCCCCCCCGGGTTCTCAAGGTCACGGACCGCTCACGTCCCGAAAGTCAAGGTGTCTCCAGGCAGCCTGGGTTTAGACCCACATGACCCCGTTCTCCAAATTCAAATCGACCCACAAAGTGTGAGATATTTCCACAGCGCGCGTTTGGTTCGGCCAAAATCTGACATTCTCCAGAAGTTAAAAATTTATTTCAGACTATCATTTTACACTTGAAGACATAATCTAGATAAGAAATTGGACACGTTGGAGCTTGCTGGTGGCAGAAAAATAAATAGATAAGAGTGACAAACTAAGTTGACAAAGAAAATTTCCTAAACACTTTTTGGCGTCCTACCACTAAACATTGAGTCCCAAACAATTATTTTACAAATGAATAGACATTCTAGACGCAAAGTGGGTTTTCTAAATGTCTGATTTGACATTTTGGATTAATCTGGAGGCAAAAATTAAGATAGACTTAAAATACCCAAAATTTAGATTTTTCCACTGCGCGTCTTTGTCAAAAGTTGAAAATTTAGTCTCAGACTATCATTTTACACTAGAAGAGATAATCTAGATGAGAAATCGGACACTTTTGAGCTCGCTAGTGGCAGAAAGAAGATGAGAAATATTGACATTTTAAAAGATCTGAACATCAAGGAAGATTGGCTAATAAACAGCATCCTTTCTCGAAAGCTGAAATATTTTGGTCATATCAAGCGCCACGACGGATTTGAAAAAAATTATAGCAGAAGGCATGATACCAGGAGGGAGGGGCAGGGGCGGACCGACACGAAGATGGGCACAGGATAGAAGTGACTCCTTGAGTGTGAAAGTTCATGAGGCGGGAGAACTGGCAAGAGACCGAGTTTCTTACAGGCAGACTGTGATAAGAGCGACGTTCTGCAAAGGACCTGCTACATGATGATGATGAGTGGCTGAAAAATTGATAAGATAAGAGTGAAACACAAATTTTACAAAGAAATTTTCCCAACAACATTTTAGTGTCCTACCACTAAACATTGAGTTCCAGACAATTATTTTACACATGAATAGACACTCTAGATGCAGAGTAGGTAATCTGGATGTCTGATTTGACATTATGGAGCAATCTGGGTGCAAAAATGGCCTAAAAAACCCAAAATTGAGATTTTTCCACAGGCGCGCGTTTGACCTTTTAAATGCTATCTTAATAAAAACATTTGGCCTTATGAGAGTAGGACTCCCTGATTGTGTATTAAAATAAATTGGAACAGCTAAAGCATACCAGAGTCATTTTGGATCTGAAGCTTCAACTTCATCATCCAAGCTATCCCGTGTTTATCCCGTGGATCTTGTGAGACAGACATCAGTGAAGGTGAGGACATAATTATATAAGGTAAGTTAAAACATGTAATTTGTGGCTGTTTCATTTTTCTAATTTTTTCTATGTGCTAATCTAGATGCTTCTGTATATTTTTACCCGTTTTAAGATGTTTTCTGTCGATGAAAAGTGGTAACACTGCTTCTATATGATTAAAAATCTGGCATTGTCTGCAGGTCTATCAATGCTGGGGTTTCCCCCTCAGATCTGGGTTTTAGACGCCTTGGGGAAATCTTTTTTTTGTAAATATCATCATCAGGTGCCTTGCCGACTGGCTTGGGCGATCATGCCTCTCCACAATCTGCGATCTCCCGCAGCATGTATCAGTTCATGTGCCGACACACCTCCATGCCATGAAACAAGACAAGAATTTTGTCTCGTTGTCTTTCTCTATCCCTCCCTCCACAGATCTTTCCAGTGGTCACAACATGTTCTATTTTTCCTCTTCTCACAACATGGCAAAAAAAAATGACTGTCTCCTTCTGATGTCTGTGATAAGTTGTCTTCGGGCTCCCGCCTCTTTCAAAACCTCTTGGTTCATCTTTTAGGCTGTCCAAGGTATTCTAAGCATTCTTCTGTAAAACCACATTTCTGAGGCCTTAAAAAATTGTTTGCCTGCCTACCGATTTTTTAATATATCCTCATATCAAAGAGGTAAATTTTTTGTTTCGTAAATATAAGTTTTGTACATCTCAACGATCTGGGTTTTGTTTGTTTGTTCTTTGCTTGAATATTTGTTCCGCTAAGCTGGGTTTTCAAAAAGTCCTATTGGCAGCCCCGTTTGAAACTGGACCAAGGAAGGGAACAAACCGGACAGGCAGAAGCTTTTGTGTCTTGAGTAGTCTAGTCTTCGGTTATGGTCGGCAAGAGTAATCATTTCATTGTGGTTTTAGGAAAATCATGGATAATCAGCTAGGTACACAGTTTTGATTGCTGTTTCTGAAACTTAATTCACTGCACATTCACATTCACGGTTCATTTTATGAATTGTTTACCATCATTCACATTTTCAAAGGAGTTTTTACTATTACTACTTTAGTTACTAGTTTACTAGTCTACTATTACTAGTACTAGTACTAGTAGTAACCTCGGCTGACTACTGACTGTCACTATCACTAATCCTGTAGCCTACCCTGTACCCAGAATAAACGTATAGTATTTTCGTTTGTAAATATAATTTAAAAAGGCTCTCCTAGCAGATTTGGCCGGGACTGCTTCGGCAGCTTAGTGGGAGTTACGTCCCTTCGCCAAACTCAAAACAACTCAAAACAAGTCGCGGAAAAAGTCACGAATCAAATGGCATACTTACCTATCATCATCCGGGTGCGTGTAGGGTTGCGTAGGGTGTCTATCATCATCCTACGGTTGCGTCTAGGGCTGCTTATTGCGTGTAGGTTGGTTGTTTGCGTCGTAAGATGAGGGGTAGGGTTAGGGTTTAGGGTTAGGGGTAGGGTTAGGTGTAGCGTTAGATGTGACAATTGTTGGGCTAGTAGAGCGTGAGACTGGTTTGCTACTTGGAGCTTGTGCGTATGCGGCGTTAGATGTGACAATTGTGACGCCGTAACGTCCCTACAATCGCGCACAGTCGCATGCACGCGCAAACAGTCGACGGACACACAAACAATGCTACTGTGACACGGACAATTCGCCACCGATTGGGCACCAGCAGCCGCCCGCTATTGGCGTCATATTTGGCAGAGTTTCAGTGGCGCCACTCCCACAAGCATCAGATTGTCGGCCACTATTTCGAGTTACTACGTGAAAATTTTAACATCGAACCATAACCCTAAACCCTAACCCCACCCCTCATTTTACGCAAACAACCAACCTACACGCAATAAGCAGCCCTACACGCAACCGTAGGACGATGATAGACACCCTACGCAACCCTACACGCACCCGGATGATGATAGGTAAGTATGTCATTTGATTCGTGACTTTTTCCGCGACTTGTTTTGAGTTTGGCGAAGGGACGTAACTCCCACTAAGCCCCACTAAGCCGGCCGAAGCAGTTTAGCTTGCCGGTCAAATCTGCTAGGAGAGCCTTAAAAATGTTAATGCTAGTTAACCAGTCCGTATAATACTGGAAAGATTTTTGCAAAGATATTTGCGAACTTAGAGCTCGACCAGTACTAGAGCCCCAGTTAGGCAAGAGGCAGTTAAATTTCAGGAAGGAAAGATCTGTACAGATGGAATATTTTCTTTAAAGCAGATATGTGAGCAGTCTATTCTATCGAATAAGATAGAAGTAACAGTCTTATATTTTTAAATCAAGAGAAGGCATTCGATCGAGTCAACAGATTTAAACTATGGAGAATTCTAGAAGATTATGGTATTTAAGATCGGCTCTCCTTTCAACTACGGCCGGTAGAGTAGACAACAGTAGACGGCTGGTTGGTCGAAGTTCTGTCCCCTGGCTGCAGTGCAATTACGGACTGGAGAAGGCACGAATCAGGAAACACAGTGAGGTCGACATGCCTGGCAGACTCTGCGCTGCGACTCAAAGTAGCGACCGCGTTCAATTACTGCTTCTTGTGACGCATTCTGGAGTGGAATAGAGGGAACGAAACAAGTGACATATTTACTGTGTGTTGGCGATAGACAGCGTGCAGTGCCCTACTGTCATCATACGGTTAGGGGTAGGGTTAGGTTTAGGATTTAGCCAGTCTGTCCGCCTGTTCATTTCCCAACACACCGGCGTTCCCCGGTGAAAAAATCCAGACATCAGAAGGAGACAGTCATCATATTTATGCTTATTGATGAACAACAACAGTGACTGCACAAAAGAAGTCAGAAAACGACTTGCTTACCAATGCAGAGGCTGAATAACATAAAGAACTTATGGCATGTTTGTTACCTGCAAGCAAGTTTAAGTAACAGTTTTGAGATCATGCATTTTGCCTGTAGCAACTTATGGATATCAGACATGGACTCTCACTCAGTCTTTGAACAAGAGCTTTTGAACTAAAATGCTACGAGAAAAACTCTTGTAGCGGTACAGTGGAGTCTGCAATTTAAGTCGCCAGAAGTCCGATTTACATGTTGAACATCCTGCATGACCATAAACATCGGAACATAGCCGAATGACAGACTGGTTTTGTAAACAGCATTCTTTGTCCTCTCTCCTGCTCATTACTGACAATGAATATCACTGAGCACTTATGGGTGTCCCCGAGTGCTGTGTACAGTCGATTCTTAATTTAACATTGGGCTATTCTCCTAATAACGGGCACAGAGTTGTTAAGATGCCCACACTTATTGTCAGTATGTGTGGAGAAGTTATCAAAAGGTCATGAGACCTGAAATATTTTGCTATCCTTCTGATATATGTCCATGGTGTCATTTTCTTTATTTGGCAACTTTTTGTCTTTGTGGATGGTAGTGTTAAATTGTGCTATGGGGAGACGTGGTTATGGTTATGGCGAGTGTAACTAGCAGAGCCCACCCACGTTAAGAAAAATCATCCATAATTAGACCTCCACATGTATTCATGTGCTTCTTCTCAGTTGCTCAGCTCTCAACCTATCTGCAATCATTTTTTACTTTATTCTCATTCTCTTCCTGATTTTTTTCCCCTTCCAAGAAACAAGGTTAGTTTTGTTTCCATGGATTCACCTCAATACCTGTATCTTTCATGTCCTGCTGTCACATCTTTATATCAAAGTAAAGGCTGACTTTGACATCTTCTAACCATCTGTAGTTCATCATAGAGAATGTTCTTTGGGACTCTACCATCCTCCCTACTCCAGGTTTGACAAACCCATCTGAGATTTTGGAGACTCAAGTATTGAAAAAAAAACTTGTTGTTTACCTACTCTCTGTAATACCTCAGTGTTTGTGATCTTATCTTGCCACTTAATACCAAGTATTCTTCTTAGACATCACATGTGAAAAACTATGAAACTATTTCTCCTGTTGTGAATAAGTTGACCAAGTTTCACTGCAATGGATGGATATCTGAATTACAAATTATTGGGGGTACACATGACAGAAGGGCGTGGATAGACAGTATGAAGAACACTGCAGTACAAACATTAGGAAAAGAGTATAGAACCAAAAAATTCACTGGTCATTTAAACCCTAATACAATAACTCATCAAAGATCATCTAAAGCTGTAAGTATAAATTAATTTTTGTAGCGTGCTGTATAAAAATCTGATTAGAATACATTGATTGCAGAGATTTGATTAGTTTTGTTTCTGGTCTGAATTTTTCTTTAAAAATTGATTCTGTCGTTTTCTTTGTGGCAGCATTCCCCGTAAGTTGTCCAGATGAAGTCTTCAAGAACAATCCAAAGTTTGGCTACCTGTTGACAAAGTTGATGGAAAAATTGACACCAGATGGAAGGAGTCAGCACATACAAAAACATTTTGAATTGGTAAGGGTGGTAGTAAAATCTCATCTGAATGTAATTTTATTGATTATTTGTAAAAATATGGCATCACACAATCATTCAAAGCAAATCTGATATTACAATACCATTCAAATGTCTTTATTAGATATTCAAACGAGGATTACAGCAGCATTAGGGCAATTAGATATCCAAACGATGATGACAGCAGCATTAGAGCAATTAGATATCCAAACGAGAATGACAGCAGCATTAGGGCAATTAGATATCCAAACGAGAATGACAGCAGCATTAGAGCAATTAGATATCCAAATGAGAATGACAGCAGCATTAAGGAAATTAGATATCCAAACGAGAATGACAGCAGCATTAGGGCAATTAGATATCCAAACGAGAATGATAGCAGCATTAGAGCAATTAGATATCCAAATGAGAATGACAGCAGCATTAGGGCAATTAGATATCCAAACGAGAATGATAGCAGCATTAGGGCAATTATATATCCAAATGAGAATGACAGCAGCATTAGAGCAATTAGATATCCAAACGAGAATGACAGCAGCATTAGAGCAATTAGATATCCAAATGAGAATGACAGCAGCATTAGGGAAATTAGATATCCAAACGAGAATGACAGCAGCATTAGAGCAATTAGATATCCAAACGAGAATGACAGCAGCATTAGGGCAATTAGATATCCAAACGAGAATGATAGCAGCATTAGGGCAATTAGATATCCAAATGAGAATGACAGCAGCATTAGAGCAATTAGATATCCAAACGAGAATGACAGCAGCATTAGAGCATTTAGATATCCAAACGAGAATGACAGCAGTATTAGAGCAATTAGGGATCGAAACGAGACTGACAGCAACATTAGGGCAATTAGATATCCAAACGAGAATGACAGCAGTATTCGAGCATTTAGATATCCAAACAAGAATGACAGCAGCATTAGGGCAATTAGATATCCAAACAAGAATGACAGCAGCATTAGGGCAATTAGATATCCAAATGAGGACGACAGCAGCATTAGAGCAATTAGATATCCAAACGAGAATGACAGCAGCATTAGGGCAAACAATAAATAACCCATTGGAAACCATATTTGCCGACAAGAAATTGCATATTTACACCACATGTTCAGTTTTGTCATATTGAAAGTTTGCAATAATTTTATCATCAGGAAAGTTACTGTTACAATTGTTTTGTGTATTACTGTGGATATTATAGTATTCTTGACAACAAGCAAGCCACAGAACACCATATAACAAGTGTATTGCATTAGAAAATGTCAAACATTGAAGTGTACACATCGTTGATATGTTGGGAATCCTGGAAAATTATTGTAATATCTCTTGAAGCTGCAGAACTGGTGCTTTACATACAAATGCAAACAGATTCAATGAAAAGCCAAGAAGGAGTTGTCTGAATGTTTTGAAATAACTTAGAAACAAAGACATAAAGAAAACATTTTTGACCACAGTTTGAGAAGAAAAAACTAACATAGTGTAATAACTGGAGATTTTGGTGAAAAAGGTCATAAAGAGATAGTGAGAGAAGATATTTGACAAGTTTCATCATGACATTTGAAAATATAGCGTCCATGGAAATGAAAGAGCTGATAGGTTGGCTGGATCCGCTATCACTACCTATGGTCAGCCTATGGATCATGCTGATATTATTAATGCCCTCAGAGAAATGGGAAGGATAGAGGACTTTGGGAACAGTGAATCCACATAATTCGCCAGAATGGCAGACTTGGGAATTAAGATCGGCATAGCAAAAAACGAGACTCACACCAGACGACTTGTTAATCAACATAGAAGTGGTACTTTTAGCCATCAGACATTGGGATTCATACTAAGGGGAGGATCTGAGCACCTATGGACATGTCCGGAGTGCAATGATGATAAACCCAACTAACTAACTAACTAATTAAAAAATATAAGCAAATGATACAACCTGTCGGAGATCAGTTGATTAGGTGAATAATAATTCCTCATGCCAGTTGGCACGCATTTGATGATGATGACATTGTAATGAGAAACATTGTTTGGTTTGAAATGCAAAGACTTTTTCACCTTTGTATTTGTGGCAATGAATAATTGCCAGTAGTTAAATTGTCAGGGGTTAGACGTGACTTCTGTATCATAGTGTATGGTATTGTTGTAGGTCAGAATGTTAATTTTTAAATTGTCAGGGGTTAGAAGTGACTTCTGTAACATAGTGTGTGGTATTGTTGTAGGTCAGAATGTTAATTTTTAAATTGTCAGGGGTTAGACGTGACTTCTGTATCATAGTGTGTGGTATTGTTGTAGGTCAGAATGTTAATTTTTAAATTGTCAGGGGTTAGAAGTGACTTCTGTATCATAGTGTGTGGTATTGTTGTAGGTCAGAATGTTAATTTTTACATTGTCAGGGGTTAGAAGTGACTTCTGTATCATAATGTGTGGTATTGTTGTAGGTCAGAATGAAAGTGTCAGGATTAGAAGTGACTTCTGTATCATAGTGTATGGTATTGTTGTAGGTCAGAATGTAGGTTTCAGGGGTTAGACGTGACTTCTGTATCATAGTGTGTGGTATTGTTGTAGGTCAGAATGTTAATTTTTACATTGTCAGGGGTTATAAGTGACTTCTGTATCATAGTGTGTGGTATTGTTGTAGGTCAGAACGTTAATTTTTAAATTGTCAGTGGTTAGACGTGACTTCTGTATCATAGTGTGTGGTATTGTTGTAGGTCAGAATGTTAATTTTTAAATTGTCAGGGGTTAGACGTGACTTCTGTATCATAGTGTATGGTATTGTTGTAGGTCAGAATGTTAATTTTTAAATTGTCAGGGGTTAGAAGTGACTTCTGTATCATAGTGTATGGTATTGTTGTAGGTCAGAATGGTAATTTTTACATTTTCAGGCTCAGCAGAGAATATCCCAATCCAGGCACACTTGGCTAATGAGTGCTGTTATTTACAATGAGCTTTCTGAGTTTTTGGCTGATTCAGAGATTAAGTATCAGGAGGGAACTCTGTCAGTTGATGAAAGACAGGTAGGTTAAGGTGGAGATCAATTGTGTGGTTGTCAGTTAATAAATGAATAATGCTGATAAAAGTATACTAAGGTTATTTCACAGCTAAGACCTTGATATTTCTAGGATTTTGTCTGTTGGTTCTCCATAGAAGTACTGGTTAATATCTTGACAAAAATGACTGAGAAATAAGTCAGAAAAAATGTAGTAACAGCTGCTTCTATCAAGATAAAGAATAAGTAACACTGTTTAGAAAAATATAAGGTGCACATCAACCTTACAATGATTAGATGTTTCATCATCATGTAGCAGGTCCTTTGCAGAACGTCGCTCTCATCACAGTCTGCCTGTAAGAAACTCGGTCTCTTGCCAGTTCTCCCGCCTCATGAACTTTCACTCTCAAGGAGTCACTTATATCCTGTGCCCATCTTCGTGTCGGATTAGATGTTTAGGCACTTATAAAGTACACATCAACCTTACAGTGATTAGATGTTTAGAAAGTTATAAGGTACACATCAATCTTAAACTGATTAGATGTTTAGGCAATTATAAGGTACATATCAACCTTACACTGATTAGATGTTTAGGCAATTATAAGGTACACATCAATCTTAAACTGATTAGATGTTTAGGCAATTATAAGGTACACATCAACCTTACAATGATTAGATGTTTAGAAAGTTATAAGGTACACATCACTCTTAAACTGATTAGATGTTTAGGCAGTTATAAAGTACACATCAACCTTACAGTGATTAGATGTTTAGGCAATTATAAAGTACACATCAACCTTACAGTGATTAGATGTTTAGGCAATTATAAAGTACACATCAACCTTAAACTGATTAGATGTTTAGGCAATTATAAAGTACACATCAACCTTACAGTGATTAGATGTTTAGGCAATTATAAGGTACACATCAACCTTACACTGATTAGATGTTTAGGCAATTATAAAGTACACATCAACCTTACAGTGATTAGATGTTTAGGCAATTATAAGGTAAACAATAACCTTACACAGATTAGATGTTTAGGCAATTATAAGGTAAACAATAACCTTACACTTATTAGATGTTTAGGCAATTATAAGGTAAACAATAACCTTACACAGATTAGATGTTTAGGCAATTATAAAGTACACATCAACCTTACACTGATTAGATGTTTAGGCAATTATAAGGTAAACACATCAACCTTACACTGATTAGATGTTTAGGCAATTATAAGGTAAACAATAACCTTACACTGATTGGATGTTTAGGCAATTATAAAGTACACATCAACCTTATACAGATTAGATGTTTAGGCAATTATAAGGTACATATCAACCTTACACTGATTAGATGTTTAGGCAATTATAAGGTACACATCAACCTTACAATGATTAGATGGCCTATTGTATGCAGATAATGAATACTCTACTACACTGTAGAACCTCTACATTTGACTAGCTCCCTGTGTTGACCACTTCTAAAAGTTGACCTCATTCTAATTTATCGTGCAGTTGCTATAATCAGTTGAAGACTAACTCTAAATGTTGAGTACCTCTGTAAATTGTATGTTAACCACTTGGAATATGGCACCTCATAATAATTTGTTCTCTATAAATTGACCAGATAGTGACTCCAAAACAGTTCCTTTAGAAATTGTGGAAGAGTTCATAAAAATGTTCCCTTACTTTGCCAGAGGCTCCAAAGACAACATCCCTAATTCCAATATGTTGAACATCTCTTTAAGTTGACTGATTTGCTACAGAAACTTTGGTGGTCAACTTGTAGAGGTTCTGCTATATTTGTGTTGTAGAAGAATTCTGCAGTGCATATTAAAATAAAAGACTCTTGTCAAACCACTATTATTCCAGGTATTTGATGCTAGATTTATGTTTAGCTGACACTCGAGGGTTGATGTTGTTAGCATGCTGCCCATCCTTAGTCCGCAAGACTTTTGCTTGCACACATAAAAGGCTGACAGCAAAATTATTTTTAAAAAAAAGTCTGTTTTGATGCAGATTTGAATCCAAGACTCCTCCCTACATGGTCATAATTAACTTGCACTTGCCCTATATTTGTTTCATCTTTGTTTTTGTCAAAATTAGGTTTTTTTCTATCTGCAACAGAGCTTATGCCTTTTGGTGGACACATCTGACTTCTCTTTATTTACTGGTCATCTCTAATGGTTATGCTTAAGATAAATTTCACTGAATGTGTTACAATTGTCGTTTAAATTTATAATGAGGCAGTAATTAACTGTTGTTTTTTAAAAACTAATGTAACTATTTAGGCATTTGCTATATGAGTCTGAGCTTCTATGGGGTATGCTATGATGTCAGTTCTTAATTTAGTCATCAGTAAGGTATTTGAAAAAAAATGTTTCTTAAGACATTGAAGTCAAAACATTCACAGATTGCCAATGACAAGGAGAAAAGAAATCTGTATCCTTTGTAAGGTTGTTTCTGGGTCATTTAAAAAAAAAAGCAAGTCAAACTAAGTGCTCAGTTGAATACGTTGCCAGAAACATTCTGATTTCTAATTTGACATTTCAGAGGATTAGAACATTGGTCCCCTATGTGGGTTCCGGGGCCCCATTGTGGGGAAAACAAGAATAGACCCACTGCCTCCCCAAAAGCATGTCGTAAGAGTCGACTAATTGGGGAGCTTCCTTTGAAGTCGGAGTGCATCTGCCGGAGAGGCAAGGAACCAACAGTCTGTATTCAAGAAAATGAGATCTGTAAAACTGATGCACACGCAACACTCAGGTTCTGGAGCAGGACTGCAGTTCAGTAGTAGACGAGCAACCAGAACCCTCCGCCAGAGTGTACAGCTGGTGAACGCGAAGAAGAAGAAGAAGATTGAAGAACATTGGTAAAATAGTGAACAATGAAATAAATTATCTGCTTTCAGCTGAAAGATGTACTTTCTAAGGCCTTTGCATTCAGTGATGTTGGAGGTCAGCTAAATATTCTTTCATCTGGATCAACTGTTTTATTTGGCTTATCACCAGAGGTCATTGACAAGTACAATCCAGTCAAACACGTGAGTTTACAAAATATTCAGTTATACTTGTAAGTTTACTTTTTTTTCTTTCGTTTAACTTTTCTACCATCACTTTTTTCATACCTGGTTCCATTCTAGAATAAATAATTCAAGTCAGGTTTGTATCATATGCATCTTGTCTAGTTTTAGAAAATGAATATGCAGAATTAGGAACCTGAAATTTTGTAATGCTACAGAAACATGATATTTTTAAATAGCACACTGCAATATTGAATGTCTTCTTCTTCTTTGTTCACCTTTGTAAGCTCCGAAAGTAATGGTTGTTCATCCACTGGACTTTGGTTTGGTGTCAGGGCCTGAGTTTGTGTAAAGATTCATTTTACTGACATTTTTGTGTGCAGTTTGTTGTTCCTTGCTGCTCGGGCAGATGCACTCTGATTTCAAAGGAAGTCCTTGATTAGTGCCAAGTGGCCCACGGATCACTGAAGTGGCCCACGGATCACTGCCAGCTGTATTGTGTTAATGATCTTTCTATGCGTGGGCTTGAGCCTCTGGCCCGAGACGATCACGATTTTCAACATTTTGGCTCCTGGGTAAACTCAGTGGAACAGCCCTGCTGTAGAATGTATCAGATCCAGTTTTTACTAGATGACCAAACAACTTAATATTCTGTCTTTTCAATGTAATTCAGCCATGGTATTTTTCAACTTCTACTCTAGTTATGGTATTTTGACCCTGTCCGTTGTTAGTGACCCTTTAAGGACAGCAAATTTCGCAAACAGTTATGTTTCTATGTTTTACTTATTATCCATGAATTGCACTGACAGGACAAAGTAGGAATGAAGATGCTATTAATCATTTGGTGTTTTGCTAGAAGGGAGACATCTGGATGTCTGGACAGTGCAGCTGGTTGGCAGGTGACAGCATTTGCCTTTTGGATTCTAGCTTTTATCTGTCGAGTCAGCATTTTCTGTAAATATGCTTCCTAGGTGTTTGTCTTACTGTAGCCCTACTGACATAAACTTCACATTATTTGGTTTCCTACCTATTTTCATTACCCAAGTTTTGATATTGTTTTATTTTCATGGCATGTTTCGTGCAGTTATGTTACATGTCATACTTCATGTTGTATGATACAGGTATGGATAGATAACATTAAAGACACTCTACGCCTTCACGGCATGACAATTAACCAATGGCAGCCAACGTGCACTGGATCGTAAATTATTCCTCCCCACAACACTTAACAGCAGAAGTGGTTTATGATGATGATGGAACCCGGACACTGATAACAAAAGGAAAATTAATGTGAGAATTCAGTCTGGCTTTTTGGGGGTTACAGTTTTTGCGGTTACACCACTTATGATCATCCGCAAATTTCAGCAAACTGCGTGAGCAAGAGCGTGGGCTACCATGTTGTTTTGAATGATGATACCCGGGGTGGTCCACACCCCTTCTACCGTATTCCCCCTGGATTTCTCCTCTTCTTTCTTTCTCCCCTGTCTCAGTGGCGACTTTCTTTTCTTACTCCCTATTATTTTCTTTCTCTGTCTCTCTCTCTCCCTTTCAGTCTTCAGCTCCCTGTCCTCTAGTCTTCATCTCCTTGACTTCTGTCTATCTACTGGCTGTGTCCAGTACACAAGAAATTGTCTTATGGTTGGGGGAGGCAGTGGGGTTTCAGCATCAGGCTTTTTTTTCTTGTGGTGTTTTCTTTTGAAATTAGTTTTTTCTTTTTTCTTTTTTCAATCTCTTTTTAGTTAGTGCCCCTGGCATTTGGCCTCTCTGATTGTCACTGCCTTCTTCTCTTTCTATGTCTACCTCCATCCCTTCTCTTGCTCTGCCTTTCTTTCTCTCTCTCTCTGTGTTTCTCACCCTTTGTCGATTTGCCTCTAAATTTTTCTCTGTCTCTCCCTCGTTTGTTTTGTTTACATCTCTCTGCTTGCATCTCTTTCTCTGCACGTCCCCTCTGTCTCCTTCTCTCTCTTTGTCATCTTTGTTTCCTTCCCTCTGTCTCTCTTTCCCTTCTTCCTCTCTCTTCTGTCAGTTTCTACATGCCTGTTCCTCTTTCCCCACTATGCCTCCTTCTCTGTCTTTCATACTGTCTCTCCCACTCTACCTCAGCATTTGTCTTCCTCCCTCTTTGTATGGCTGTCTCTCTCTCTTACTCCCTCCCTTTTCAGGTACCAAATCTAGAACAGACAGGACTTCAATTTGCTCTCCTCTGCCACCAAGTCTAGAAAAAATGTACAAACACTATATCTGTGCTGGTATACCCACATGTGTGAGCACGAATAATGTACTGTGTGTGCTCGGTACACCCTTGAACAGGGCACACATACCTTGCCCCAACACAGCTTTGAAAAAAACCAAGAAAATCTTGAAAAGCTTTGAAATTGATGGGTTAATTTGGCTATGAATCTTGAATGGTGTGTTTAAATAGGGGGTTAGCACTGTATTCCCAATGTGTTTCAAGGCTAGGAAATAGTTACTTTTCCATCTTTGCTTGAAAGTGTTGTTTTGCTTAGACCCAAATTGTACTGATCATTTTGTTGTGACTGCCTTCTTCTCATCAGACAATCTGTTTACTAATAATTGTGTCAGAATCTAATATTACACCTGATTATCTTTTGATAAGACTACTCATATGTTTATAATTTAATTTAGTCAGTGTCTTTTTGTTGTTGCTGTTATTCTTCTTTCTCTATTCTGTCTCCTCCTCCTTATCCTTTATGATTATCTTTTCATTACTTTGATATTTCTGGGTGGTCTCTGTGGCGAAGTGGTCAAGACACCTTTTTTTTTCACGCTCTGAAGGCTGTGAGTTCACTCCAGAGGTGTGTCGTTCAGTTCAAGAGGTCAATAAACAGATCCCCGGGGTTTACCTCCAGAGTTACGGAGATTGTCCTTTGTGTGAGACATTTGGCGGCAGCTTGCCATTCTACAGAGATGGACTAAACCATGTGTGGCAATGAAGTTGATACTCTCAGCGTTACCTTTTAGATGTTTCTTGTTTTTGTTTTTCTTCATCTGCTCCTCTTCCTCAATTTCTCATTTATGTAATTGTCATTTGATTTTTTATCTTTGCTTCCTATCCTTCTTGTTCATCTCTATTTTTGTTTTCTAGATTTAAATTCTAGTTTTTTGGATGTGAAATTTTGTATTGTTTTGAGCACATTTATGTTTCCATACAGTCTGAAATTAAATGTATTAATTTGTGACTAGATTGTTGATTTTGGTAAATGTGTCAACTCCTAGAATACAACAGATCTACAACAGATATTGCTACCAGTGCTTGAGAACAGATTGAGAAATAAATCCCAAGAACTGTACAACTTCTTTGATCCCAGTAAGTAGTGTACATGTTTCATTTGACTGTCTTACAAATCATTGTAATGTGAACTAACCAACACACACGTTTCATTTGACTGTCTTACACATCATTGTAATGTGAACAAACACACACATATTTCATTTGACAGTCTTACACATCATTGTAATGTGATCAAACAAACACATACATGTTTCATTTGACTGTCTTACACATCATTGTAATGTGAGCAAACACACACATGTTTTATTTGATTGTCTTACACATCATTGTAATGTGAACAAACACACACACATGTTTCATTTGACTGTCTTACACATAATTGTAATGTGAACAAACACACACACGTTTCATTTGACTGTCTTACATGTCATTGTAATGTGAACAAACACACACACACACGAAATCAATTAATCCATAACAGAATCATTTATATTTGCCTCTAAATAATGATGTAACAGTTGTTATTTGTGTTCAGGAGTACTGTCATTTTATTTTAGAATTGTTAGTGGTGATCTTGAAGTTCTTGAACTGTTTGTAGGATTCAGCACTTCCTGTGACCTACTTAATTTACATAATCGCTGGCTATTCCCTTCTTGGTACTGGCAGAAGTATGGTCTCAACCTAGTTCATGGTAGCTGGGGTCTGTGAAAATGCCATTTATTGGCTAGCATTGAAGTTGTACAGATGTGTTTGTGTGTGTTTTTATTGGCTAGTATTGAAGTTGTACAGATGTGTTTGTGTGTGTTTTTATTGGCTAGCATTGAAGTTGGACAGACGTGTTTGTGTGTGTTTTTATTGGCTAGCATTGAAGTTGGACAGATGTGTTTGTGTGTGTTTTTATTGGCTAACATTGAAGTTGGACAGACGTGTTTGTGTGTGTTTTTATTGGCTAGCATTGAAGTTGGACAGATGTGTTTGTGTGTGTTTTTATTGGCTAGTATTGAAGTTGGACAGATGTGTTTGTGTGTGTTTTTATTGGCTAGCATTGAAGTTGTACACATTTGTGTGTTTGTGTTTGTATTCTGAGGGAGATTTCTACACACAGAGAGTTGTGATTTTTTTGTTGAGGGGCACATACTTTTACATCAATATTCTCTCCAGTATAGTATCATATCTATCAAGGAACATATCGTTCATTGTCTTTGATGTTCGTTGTGTTCTCTGTTCCTTTATTTTCAAGGGCCATTAAATGTATTTTTTTTTTTAAACTACTGCTTTCTAAAATGAATTCAGTATAAATTTGAAGCCACATTAATTTTTTTTCTTCTAACGGCTGAAATATTTTTCCTCATTTGTTTCCTGTTTTGCTGTTTTGACGTTGAGGAAGCTAAAGGGTTCTGCTTCTCACTCTGAACACATTGTATTGTTGTAGTGTCTCTGTGGTTATCTTTCTTATTCCTAATCAATCTCATACTCTACATCCCTCTCTTTTTGGTACATGCCTTGTATAGTTTGGCATTTCAGTGCATTCTCTCTAGGTAAATCATTTTATTTGCTGTCTTTGTATGTAATTTAGAATTAGCTGTGTGTTAATTTTGTTCTCTTATAACCTCTTTCCTGACTTGATCTCTTTTGGTCACTTCTGCAGCCTTTCTTAGACATCTCATTTCCGTGGTTAATATTTTGTTTGCTTTTCTGGTTTGTTGTAAGTGACATGCTTTTCACTGGCAGCAGTGAGTGAGAATAAACATATTTTATATTAAATGTTTTTGTGTGTGCGGATTGTGAGTCTTCTGATGTTTAAAAAAAAACTGGGGTGTTGGGATGGGTGGATAGTGTTTACTGTCTAGCCGTCCCAATACTTGGTTTGCTTTACTGCATCAGATATTAATTTCTTTATCCAAATATACAATTATCTACGAACTTTTGTCCCCACATTTTAAAAATTGTATTCCTGTTTAATACCATTGCTTTCTACTGGCTATATTTAAGTTCTGCTTCTTTCTTCCTATTGACATTTTGCTTGTTTCCTTCTGCCTTCTATCCCATAATAGAGCATAGGCCCTTAACCAACTCACTCCAAGTCATTCTATCCTTGGCTGTTGCTTGCAGCTCTCCCCTTGTCCTTCCCTTCTTTTTAACTTCACTTTCCAGCTCTCTTCTCCATATGTTTTGGTCTTCCTTTATTTCTGTGCCCCTGTGGGTTCCAATGCAAAGACGTTCTAGTTATATTGTTCTCAGGCTTTCTCAACGTGTGTCCTACCCAACCCGTCTTTTCTTTATCTCTTGGTCCACTAGATATTGTTAAGTTCTCTCTCAAAGCTCTGTCATTCTGTCAAACTATTTAATTCTGTCTATTCTGTGCAGGCACCAGTTAGTGAATGTTTGTGGTTTATAAGTAATTGCTCTGATTGTTCTCCATGTTTCTGCTCCATACAACGGTGTCCATACAACGGTGCCCATACACTGTTTCTGTGTACTCTATCATACACATTTGTAACATCCACAAAAAATAGTGTGTACATCTCTTCTATATTACCAGTGTTGCTCTGCTATTTGCTATAAAATAAATATCTGATCTTTTGTTGATCTATTCTGTCGGAAACCAGCCTGGTCATCTCCAAATATGTCTTTGACCTTTAGTTTTAGCCTGTTTAGCAGTACCATCAATAGTATCTTATAGCTTGTAGAGAACAATGATATTCCTCTATAATTTTCACAATTATACTTGTCTCCTTTCTTAATAATGACACTTTCCATTCATGGGGTAGTTTCTCGGTCTTCCAAACTAGTTTCATTAATTTATATATCTTTAAGTGTAATGCATGACCACCTTCTTTGATACGTTCCATTAGCACCAGTTGCTTTATTGTTTTGAAGCCGTGTTATGACACACAGTACTTCTTCAAAATCAGGCTCTTCAATATTTGGTTCACATGTTCATATCTCTTCCTGGGGATAAGTATTCAGTCCAGACAGACCTGCAAACACTTAGTGTCACCAACTGTAAAGAGAAGGCCAACCAAAGAGATGAATGGAGGGAGGTGTTATCTGCACCAATAAACTTTAAGTGCTGGGAATGTTGAAGAAGTTTTTCTTGACCTCCACAATTTCCTATTGTTATGAAAGCTCCTCTTGCTTTCTGTGTACATATTTTAATATCTCTCTTGACATTTCTTCCGTTTTTTTTAGTGTTGGGCGGGCTAAAGATACACTTTGGTCTAATGTGGAAGTTGGCCAATCCATTGCTCTGCCTATCCGTGGGGTATTACCTTGTTGGTTATTGGAAACCAGCAGTATTTGTTTAAGTGTTTCAAATTCTGTTTCTAGCAGGTTGCTGGAACAAATCTTTCTAGCATGGTTAAATAATGTTGACACTCTGCCACACTTGTTTGCATGTGGGCAAAACTTAACATAGATGTGCTGTCCAAGTGTCCTAACGATAAACTGACCTTTCAATAGTGCCATAATCTCTCCGTCTAGTTAAAACGTCTAAAAAGGCCACAGCGTTTCTTTTTTCATGTTCTAGGTACACTGCGATGTTTTTGTGCATTTGGTTCATTTTGGTGTGAAATGACTAGCTGTTGGCAATAATAAGTATGTCATAAACATATTGTTGGTAAAATAATGATAAAAATGTAACTGCAGGCGCGCTGTACCATACTCTCAAAATGATGCTTATAATAAAGTTGTTTGTGTGTTTATCTGTGCATTGTTTGCTACCATCTCTGTTACTGATGGCAAGAAATTATAATGTTTGCAGACAATGAGTCTCTCTCAGATCATTTGCTGGTTGCCAAATCACAGTCTTTGCCTGTGCTTGTTGAGCAGAGAAGACAGGACTTAGTTCAGGAAATAGAATCATTGAAGCAAGATAGATCACTACGGGATAAACAGTTTTGGATGCAATATCAGGTTGTTGTTTTTAAAAAAAAACATATTTTGATTTCAAAAATTAATTATATTTACATTTTGTTGACGATTTTGATTTCAGTCATTTCTACAAGGTCCGACAATTAAGTAATGAGACTAATTCTATGAAAATTAAAATAATAAACAGTTAAAGATATAACCTGTATTTTATTCAAAGTAAGCCTCTTGTGCATTGATACAAACACTGGAACTACCTTTGTAGTTCTTCTATCGTTATGGCCTTTATAGTCAATGTTACCGCTATTTTGATCCATGCTGAATACGTAACAATACACCTCTGACTAGGTTAACAAAATGGCGGTTGTTTGTTGTCTGCTTATCGGGCGGCTATTAAAAGTTACCAGATCATAGACGAAGGTTGCCTCTTTGGATTCCATGTTTTGATTCACAGAAAGCATTTTTGTCTTGGCTATAATAAAATCAGTCTCCTGACTTAATTGTTGGACCTTGTATGGCAACTGAGCTCACATCTGTTGTTGCATTATTTAGAGAATTTACCATATTCTTTTTGATTTACCATGTGATCGTTTTGTTTACACAGTTTTTGTTTTAACATTAACCAAGAGGAAAGACTTATTCTTCTATAGAAGGGGTGGCCAGCATGTTTAGGCTCGCTGGCTACTTTTCATTTAAGAAAACTCTGTATAGACTTATACATATAACCTAGCGGCGTCCGTGGCTTAGGCGTTGCGAGTCCGACTCGTTATTCCAACATACTGCGATCGAAACCCACTGCTGGCTGCGTGGACTTTTATTGTGGTATGGGGCGTCGCAAGTCGACCCAGCATAAAATGGGTACCAGGATGTATGTCCTGGGGAAGTAAAGACAGCAGGCGTAATGCTGACCTCATTACCCACCTAGTGCTGATGGTCTGAAAAAAATGGGAGCTCTTACCATATACCCGATGCACCTAAAAGTGTGACAAGGGATTACCCCCAAAAAAAAACAGTTAACCTAATGAGTACCTAGAAAAAAGGCCATAACCATGGAAACAAGTATGCATAGTTTATAAACATTCAATGAGTATCATTATGACAAATTTCGATGAACATAAATTACTGCAGTAAAATGACTTGCTGTTGACTTGATTCCAGAAACTTGACCTGCATTCGATCGAGTTTATCATGCTGTGAATCATGGGATATAACTGCTAATTTCAAGCAGGATTTGAAACAATCATCAATGATTAGGTTACTGTTCTTAGATGCTATCATATTCATTGTAGAGAACTCTGATTCACATAAATATTTATATCTGAAAAAGAGAATTCTGATTCACATAAATATTTATATCTGGAAAATTCTATCATATAAAAATGCCACCATATTTGGATAGGATCTTCTGACAGTAATTTCCATATTTCGGGAATGTTACCATCAACAGCTCTTACTTGTAGGTAAATGTCACAGCCCAGATTTATTATTTCTTCTTTTGCTAATTTAGGATCTTCTTCCACTAATTCTGATATTTTATGACAAAGTTTATTCACGCAATTAGTTTTCATTTAATTGGGAAGGCCGCAAAAGTGACGTCTTCTGTTTGTCAGTTAATCCTCTTTCTGATTCTGTGCGCAGATTTTCTAGTTTTTTTACTGTTGGGTAGTTTTATGGTACATACAAGCTAAGTACCAAATTGATAAGAAATTGTTACACAACATTGTTACGAAATGAGCCCAGGGTTTTACTGTACCCACAATGGTGACTTTATAGTTCAAGAAAATAGGTATAACAATGGGAATTTTGTCACCTAAAGTTGTTGCAGAAATTTTGTCTATTGAAATGGAAATGTTGGCAAATTACAGGTAAGTATCCAGTTTCGTCCTTTTTAAGTCGAAATTTTTTGTTATTTGAAGCCACACCAGGGGCCACAATATAGGCAGGCCATAAATATGGTCAATTGTCTGAACGTGGTTTCTGGGACCTCTCCACAGTGATCCTCATCCACATGGTGGCACTTTGTGTCATCAGGTGTTTATCGCTTGTGTGATGTCCTAGTGGGGTAGAAAGTCAGTCAGTCAAATTACTGGTTAAGAAACCTACAGGGACTGTGTCCATTGCTGCTGTAATCTTGAATGTAGTGAGTTCCTTTTTGGCACTTTGTGTAACAGACTGCACATGGTCCTTGAAAGACATGCGTTTATCGAAATGTTTACTCCGGTACTTTTGATTGCTTTTTCTTTCGATGTTTCTGTTGTTGACTGTGATGCTTGGGAGTTCCGCTCGGACAATCCTATTGTCCATAGAACACCATGATACAGTCACCTTTTGCTGATTTAGACAAATTTCCATGGCGTGTATGCGTGGCATCCTGATTGCTGTGGTGCGCCTCTTGGCTGGTCGCCTCCGACTTCAGCACCTTGTTTTGCAAGGGTAGACTGTGATCACACTCAAGGAGAGTAGGCTCATCCATTCGTCTTTCGCCTTTACCTCGTTTGTTGTCCCATCCAGTTTCCCGCTGGGGGTTGAGACCCCAACCTTCAACTGGATTGCTGGGAAGAACAGGGTCCACCACGTGAAGGTGAGGTAGGCTTGAGCAAGACAGGCTAATAGACATTAGGAGTCTTGTATTGCGCATCATTGCTCCATTAGGACTCCATTAGGAGCAAGATAGTGTACAATGCAGAATGGCCACCCTCAGTTATATTGATGAAGAATACCCACAAGAACAATGGGTCCGAGTCTATACAGATGGGTCCGCAGAAAGTGCAGTTAGAAATGGTGGTGCTGGAGTGTACATAGAATTCCCAGATGGTACTAGGTATAAGTCCAGCGTACCAACCGGGAAGTACTGCCATAACTAGGATGCAGAAACTCAGGCTATCAAGAGAAACTACTAAATACCAATCTTGGCTCACAGTATGTGGTAATGCTGACAGATGCAAAATCCATAATTGAAGCACTCCAGTCTAGGAAACTACCAGAATTACAAACACTGCTAACACAACTCAGCCTTCAGCGAAGAGTCGTAATGCAGTGGATACTGTCTCATTGTGGAGTGCCTGGAAATGAGAAAGCTGATCAACTGGCAGGGGAAGGTGCGAAAAAAGAGCAGCCAGATGTACCAGTCACCTACCCCCCAAAAAAAAGAATCATTAAATCGACCAGAAAACCACCAGCCCCAGCACAAGACGACTATTTTATTATGGACAGACTAGAACAAGTCATTATCCTCCGCCTCAGAACAGGGCACAACCGATTATGTAACCACATGTACACAAAATTCAAGATAGGCGTATCAGCCATGTGCACCTGTGGAAAGGTTTCCCAGACAGCAGAGCATGTACTCCAGGACTGCACCGAATTTGACAGACAGACCTTTTGGCCAGAAAGAACAACAGTGGAATGTAAACTCTATGGACCACTGAATGAACTAACAACGACAGTGAAATTTATACAAGAGACAAAATTGCTGATATAGATAACTTATTTCAAGCGAACGAAAGAAGAAGAAGAAGAAGTCACCTTTACAATGACTGCACACCAGTCAAGTCAATTTGTCTACTGTTGCCGGTAGCTCTTGAGCTATCTGTTGCCCATCATCACCCTGGCTGTAAGCATGAACATCATCTGCTACAATCTATCTTGTACGAGCACCTGGACTTCTTGTTATGCAGTCTTGCTTGTATACACATTGAATAGTATTGGTGAAATTGCAGAACCCTGTGGTAGTCCCAGGGCAGTATGACATGGCTCACAGAGGTTAACAGTACCTGCATGCAGGACAGCTGCTCTCCAGGTCACCAGCCGGGAAGAGACCCCCTTCTTCATGAGAGAAGACATCAACTTATCATACCTGGCTATTGTAGACATCATCAAGTGCTGCCACTATCCCCTTCTTCATGAGAGAAGACATCAAAATATCATACCTGGCTGTTTTGTAGACATCACCAAGTGCTGCCACTACCCCCTCCTGTCTATTCTGTTTGTGTGTGAACTGTTCATGGACCTATGATTTAGAAACACAAATAATCTATTTATGTTTGTTATCTGGGATCCCATGTAGAAAATACTCGAGAGTCTCTCAATCATGGAAACCATCATCAGACAATTCAAGTTGACTAAACAGGCGGAACTGGATGATGTCACAGTTCAATTGCTGCAAGCTCAAAGTGAAGCCATATGTTTAAAAATGAGGTAAAGTTCCATTTTAGAGTACATATTTGTAGAACAGGAGTGAGCATAACATAGTGGAACTCAACACTGGAAATTATAACATTATGAAAATACACTTATAGCCTCAAAGGTTAGTTGCGTATGCTTTACAGGACGTTGCAGAATCTACCCCAGTAGCCCCTGGCTGTTGTGTGGTTACTCTAGGCAAATTTACGTCCAGTAGTTTGCCATTGCTTTTTGGACGGTCGGCCCCCTGATACCACTGTTGAAACCAAGGCAAGGCGCATGGCCCGCAGCTGGGATCGAACCCGGCGTTACAAAGCGTTCGCATCAACTTAGCCACAGAGCTGACCCATTTTAGAGCACATATTTGTAGAACAGGTTGGTGAGCATAACGTAGTGGAACTGAACACTGACAATTATACCATTATGAAAATAAACTTGAAGCCTCAAAGACATGCATTTATTAAATGAAACCTGACAAGAACAGTAAATTTTTAAGAATGCAAAATGCATAATCACACCCAAAAACAGTAACGTACTCATGTGCATGACTATAAATGTGTATTACATGTCCACACATTACATGTACACACATACAGTTGTACGTAACTACATATAATGTATCTGTAAAGTGCTTGTTTGAGAGCGGCTATGGTGTAACGACTAGACACTCGCCTACGGATCCAAAGGTCATGGGTTTAAATCCCTTTTTTTTTCACCTGACCTTGTCTTCTAGGTCGACCTAGCCTTAAATGTGTACAAGGTGAGGTCTTGAGAAGTAAAGGCGGCCAGTGTTATGTTGACCACTTCACTCTCCGAGGGCTGATTAGTCTGTGAAATCATCTAGGCTCATAAGCTCGATGCGCCACTGGAGTAGACAGAGACCGGGCTTGCTCAAATTATAGATTTACATTTAGATGCACTTAATGTACACAGTCTAGGAATTTGTATATTTATACAGAATATAGAGGGGAAGGGCATGTGCACACATAGACATTCATGGACGCAATCACAAACACAATCTTCAGAAGGAGAATAGAGTGGCTAATAAGATAATGAATTGTGCAGATTAAGTCTACAAAGATTTGTTTGCATACATTTAGAGCTTTCTCTGTTACTTGTAACTCTGTTGAGTATATAAAGGAAAATGAATAGATATTGAATGTTCATGTTCACTATCATAACTTCCTGGAAACGTTTGTGTAATTTCTCTGAGAGAATAAGCTAGAACACGGCAGTTAACTGGGTGTAAATCTTTGGCTAGGTCCTGGTTGTGAGAGCTGATAGTGAGTAATTGTGCAGCCAGAAAGAAAATGAAGCAGAAACACTGTTAATTCACTCAGCATAAAGCCGTTACAATTAGTTGTTGCACACTGGTAAATGGAAAAATGAAGTATCTGTGGACTCATCCAGGTTGCAGAGAAAATACATACAAGATCCGACAATTAAGTAATGAGACTCATTCCATAAAAATTAAAATAACAGTTAAAGATATAACCTGTATTTTATTCAAAGTAAGCCTATTGTGCAATGATACAGTGAGTAGCACGATCTATCAAACACTGGAATGATCTCTGTAGTGCGTCTGTTGTTATGGCCCTTAAAGTCTATGTTAAAGCCCTTTGGATGTCATCAGTATCGTCAAAGAAGCGTCCTTTCAATGGTAATTTTAATTTTAGGAATAGAAAATAATTGCAGGGAGACAAATCTGGGGAATCAAGTGGATGGTTGAGAACACACACTTGTTTTGGGGCCAAAAATTCCTGTTTTGATGATGTCTCATGAGTACTCAACCCACTGATGTGTTTGGTCATCAGACAACGAATGCTGTACAAACCTGCAAGTAACTTTTTTCTTACCAAAATCTTGCGATTGCAGCAATGCAAAGCTGCCAGATCATAGATGAAGGTTGCTTCTTTGGATTCCATGCTTTGCTTCATTGATGGCACTTTTGTCTTGGCTATAATAAAACCAGTCTCATTAATTTATGTCGGACCTTGTATGTCAATCATTTATGGGCTGGCTGTTTCAGTATGTCAGTGGAGTTTTGAAACTTGAAAATATTTATTTCAGCCGGGCAAATCTCAGAATAGCTCGTGTAACTCCATGACAGTGCTCTCATCTCGATAATACATGGATGTAACACATGCAGCACAAGGCAAACAGCTAAAGAATGATCACGCACCTTCACAGCCAACCAAAGGGTTCAACACTTGCTGAAAAAATGGCAATAATATTGACTTGAGATGTGAGTGGGGTTATCCTTATAGCGCTATGGACACACCCATAGGTGCTCTGATTCCTCCTTCAATCATAAACAACAGCATCCCATGGGTAATAGTGCCAGTCCTATGCTGGTTGATAAAACTGTTTGTACGTCTGGTTTGCCTCCCTTGCCATGCTGTGCCAATCTTTACCCCAATACTTGTATTCTTAGCAGAGACATGGATGTGTTGCTCCAAAAATCCGCCAATCATCCTATCTCTCTAAGGGCATTCAAAATGTTGGTGTTGTCCATAGGATGGCCATCTGTAATTAAAGTAGAGCAGACTAATCTATCAGTTCTTTTATTGCCAACAACACCAGCATCCTTTGGGATAAAAGGGAAGGTAACTGCTCCTAGGCCAGGTTTTGCAGTGAAATCCATTGTCTACAGATCCTGCTTTGACCCGACAAATTCTGCTTTGACCCGACAGATCATGCTTTGACCTGACAGATTCTGGTTTGACCTGACAGATCCTGCTTTGACCCAACAGATTCTGCTTTGAGCGAACAGATCCTCCTTTGACCCAACAGATCCTGCTTTGAGCTGACAGATCCTGCTTTGACCCGACATATCCTGCTTTGACCCGACAGATCTTGCTGATAGAATCACTGAGCATGCACACACACACAGTGTATGGCAAAAACCAATGTTTTGGTTTCCCAGGGTAGAAAAGTTCAGGCATTGACTTCCCCCAAAATTCTCTTCATTATCTGTTGATTCTGTTGTGCTAACTGAGTACTAACTACTGTTGTCAGAGTCCTGCAGCTGCAGATTTTATGTGAAGCATACACACTGGAAACAGTCAAGGCCTTAAACAAAATACGGTAAGAACTTTTGCTTTGTTTCTTTAGTTACATATTTTGCTTGAGTCACCGTAGTGTAGAGCTTAGTGCTCTTGCTTGTTAATATGTAGTGATCTAGGTTCAGTTCTCAGTATTTGCTAGATTCCATCAAAACCATTTCCATTCTGGAGTTAGCTCAGCCTAGCCTATTCAAATAGAATGCAAAATCTGAAAATATGTGACATGATTCTGTGGCAACCTTGTCTGTAAATGTGGAAGTGAAAAATGTTAGCTATACAGGCATATGATTAAAGAATTGTTGGAACAATGTTTACACTAGTAAGCAAAAATAAATTATATCAATAATAATAATATATCATAAAGATATCGTGGTGTGTAAGCATGTGCTCAGAATATATTGAAAACAACTAATTACATTATGCAACCAAATGAAAGACAAGTTGCATTTTCCATCCACATTCAATATTTTAGAATAAGAGGTGGGAAGATGAAATAGAATTGAATAATAGCATTCATCAGAGTGCAGAGCTAGGTGACAGACAATGAATGTTGGAGATGCTGCCTTAATTGGAGAGATGGCATATGATTTTGTTGTTGTTCATCCATTACAAGTGTTGATGACCAGTCTTTTCATCCTGTGGTGACTGGGTTAGGTTTTGTGAGTGAGCAGATGGCTGACAAGGCCAAGCACTGAAAGTTCTTGAGCAGTGCGGATAGGGAATAGAAGCTGCATCTCTCTGGTGATTTGTTTCAGTGTCTTTCCTGGCTTGTCTTTTCTGAATTGCTGCTGCAGATCTAGCAGCTTCACGGGCCACAGCTCCTCGATGCAGAGAGGAGCGCCAGGATGAGCGGTCACTTGCAGTGACTTCCCAGGTTTTGGGATCAGTACAGAAGTCTTTCAGTTAGGTCTTGAGGTTGTCCTTGAAAAGTTTCTTCTGTATACCTTGAAAGCTTTTTCCTTTTTGTAGCTCACGATAGAAAATTCTTGTTTGCAGTCGCTGGTCAGGCATGCGAACTATATGACCTGCCCAGCGTAGTTGTGATTGTTTTAGAATCATATAAGTACTGGACCACAAATGCCTGAATTGTATCTGCTTTTTGGCTCAACCAGTCGTTTCCCATTTGGCGGAGTTTCAGCTGAGCTGATTCCCATATATTATTGTAGGCATGTCTCTTTGATGCAGATTTTGGATCATTTAGGTATGCTGTGTGAAGGCAATATTTCTCTGCTAGTAGACTGTGGCTGTCTTCTGAGTTTTGGTCGAACCAGTCGTGATGTTTCCTGGTGGGGCATCCAAGGATTTCTGTGACAGTCTCATGGATTATCTTCTTCTTCTTCTTCGTGTTCACCAGCTGTACACTCCGTTGGAAAGTTCTGGTTGTTCGTCCACACCTGGACTGCAGTCCTGCTCCAGAACCTGAGTGTTGCGTGTGCATCAGTTTTACAGATCTGATTCATTTGAATGCAGACTGTTGGTTCCTTTTCTCTCAGGCAGATGCACTCCGACTTCAAAGGAAGCTACCAATTAGTCGACTCTTACGACATGCTTTCTGGTAGGCAGTGGGTCTATTCTTGTTTCTCCCCCCCCCCCCCCCCCCCCCCCCACTCCACAATGGGGCCCCGGATCCCACGCGGGTATCATGAATTATCTATCCCCTTGAGTATTGACCAGCTTTTCTCTTCATTTTGCCCATCCAATGAAGCATATTTGAGACGGTCTTCCAGTGTGTCCTCATACAGGTGCTTGATACGTGGTTTCTTAAAGCTGGTTGTGTTCAGTGTTTTAAGATTCTTTTTACCCTGAGGTATTCAAGGTGGCTGGATATGAATATTAAGTTTTGAGATAAGGCGATAGTGAGTCCAACATTCAGCGCAACACATTGATTTTGTCATCCTTGCATCTTGCCTGTCTCTGCCTGGTGCATCCAGGAGGTTCTGTTTCTTGTAGGAAAGCCGAATAAAGTGTTAATGATGAGGTCTTATTCCGAGCAGATCTTAGTAGTAGATCGTTGCTGTTGCAGTTGCCTACACCACATTTTCCAGTGCTGCCATTCAGGAGACTGAGTCCGTACCAACTCTTGCATTGAAGTCACCAAGGACAAGCTTATCTGGTTTTGGAACTGATGAAATGACATTACGCAGTTCTTCATAAAACCTGTCCTTGACTATATCTTGGTTAGTCATTGTTGGTGTTTAGATGCTTACGATCGTGGTATGACTTCTTCCATGAAGCAAAGGGATTTTTACAGTCATCATTCAGCTATTTATACCCTTTGAATGAGCTGATAGTTTGCTAACCAGGCTTGTTCTCACTGCAAAGCAGACCCCAGCTTCACATTTTTCATTTTCTTCTCTGCCACTCCAAAAAAAAGGGTGTCACAGGCACCTCTTTCACATAACTCATCTTCACCTGCTAGCCGAGTCTCACTCACAGCAGCAATGTCAATATTGTTTTGTCAATATTGTAACCTTCTTTGCCTATTAAGGCAGTGCATCTCTCAGGTCTGTTGGCATTTCGGTTATCAAGAAGTGTGCCCACATTCCATGCGCTCAGGATGAGTGGCACAATTTTGTTTGCTTTTGTTTATTTTGACCGCTTTAGTAGGGTACCCACCATCTGTGGTAAGCTAGTTGGGTAGGAGTGGAGCAGGCAATGTTTAGGGAAGTTGTTCTAGCCCCTTCCTCATGCCATGGAGGTGAGCAGTGCTGTCCTAAAGAGGGCTGCTCAGTCACTCAGGGGGCTGTCGAACCCAACTGCTGCTGCGGTCAGTGAGAAGCGACCATATGGTCTGAGCGGCCTGTGTGCAAGTTTGCAAATAGGACTGACAGCCTACCTACGCCTGCCGCTTCACCGCTCGCTCATCGCCACAGGACTTGGTGATAAACGTTGAGGGATGGATGAAATGATGACACGCTGTGTTTTTGATTTTATTGAGGAAAGGTTGCGCAATTCTTCGACCTCACTATCTCGCCAAAGTCCATCTAAGTTCAGTGGCAAGACAAATTAAGATGTCTGGACGGAAATAAACTCAGGTGCAGTGGCATATGATTTACTGTAACCAAAAAAAGCCAAGGGGACTGCATAAAGAAACCAGACACATGAGATCCCACCCAAATATATTTGTCCTTTACAAAAGAAGTAACATCTGCCTATGGGAGTTGATCAGAAAGTAGATAAGTATTAGGGCCGTGAATGAAACATGGAAAGTGTCCAGTAAAATGACAGCCTTCAATTTCTGACTTGCATGTTCACAAATTGATGGCAGTTAACATTGCTTTGTTTTTTAATGTGATAGATCCTGTGATCATTATTTCAGTATAATGTCTAGTTGATCATAAACATGTTGATATCCGTTAAAATTGGCTTCTTATGTCATCTTTTATATATCGAAACTGTATCATATGTAATGATAGTGTATGGAATATGAGGGAACAAATCTATTTGTTCTGAAGTTGAAGATTTATTTTAGTTGTAATTTTAAATTGTTAGTGAAAGGAATTTTCATTTATTAGAATTAGGCATTACTAAATTTTGTTTATGTGTGTGGCTTCAACAGAGGTCATCTTGATCTTAGCATCATGGACACTGAAAGAGAGCTGGCTTCTACTCTGCAGTCTGTGCAAGCCTATCTTGATTTAGGCACACAGTTCAAGTCGTTAGTGGAGCAGAATAAACAGCTACAGCAGGAGATTGAGAATAGAAAATGGGCTCTCCAGCAATTAGTGAAGAAGTGATCAGTATTGTTTTTGTGTGACTGGTAGCTTCTGTTGATTCGTGTTGATAAACTGATCATCTGCAAAAAGAAGTTCATGCGTGTGAGATACAGTTATTGCAGAAGGTGCAGGGGATGCTATCACAACCTGGCAGACAGCAAACTCCAAGCCCGACTGTGTAAATGCAGTTCTCCTCTTTATTACACGGTACTGTGGTATGATCCGGCAAACCATGTAAATGAAGGAAGTCTGTAGACTACATATGATCTAGCAGCTGATGTCCTCAAACAGACCCATACATACATTCTTCTCCTCTAAAGACTGAATACACTTTAACGACTTGTCTCTAAATTCACTCACTTCTCCAGACTTCTAGCAACTCTTCACTCACAACTGAACAATTAACCACTCTTTCCCCGGACCCGCAAGCTAATCTCACAAAATGTGTTGCCGCAGTTCTCAGCCAGACTGTTCGTTGCTAGGGAAAACACTTTCAAGTAATATTTTCTGATGTGAAGCTTTCTGTCAATGAGATGTCTGCTTACCACTTACTCAGTATGCTTCGCATGGCTGATCAGCACTCACTCTGATCCCCCTACCTTCACACACACATGTCCGAAATATATGTATATGAACACATGTTTTCTTGAGCATATTCTGTGTCATTCAGCTTGCACACATGTTTATGTTCTTGAGTGCTTATCATGGCAACACCCTTGATAGCCATGGCAACACCATTGATAGCCATGGCAACACCATTGATAGCCATGGCAACACCCTTGATAGCCTTGGCAACACCCTTGACAGCTATGGCAACACCCTTGATAGCCATGACAACACCCTTGATAGCCATGACAACACCCTTGATAGCCATGACAACACCCTTGATAGCCATGGCAACACCTTTGATAGCTATGGCAACACCCTTGATAGCCATGGCAACATCATTGATAGCCATGGTACTCTTTCTGATGCAGAAAAGGCACCGCCCATCTCTCTCTCTCTCTCTCTCTCTCTCTCTCTCTCTCTCTCTCTCTCTCTCTCTCTCTCTCTCTCTCTATCTCTCCCCCCCCCCCCCCCTCCTGCCTATGAATTTATAAGAAATGAGATAGGGATTTAGATTGAGAATGAAACATGGAAAGTGTCCAGTAAAAATGCAGCCTTCAGTTTCTTGCTTATATTTTCACAGTTGTATAGCTGGTAATCTTGATTTGTTATTGCATATGATATCTTATCTGTCTATCTACATATCTGTGTTTGTGCCTATATATCTGCCTCGTGTTTGTCTGTGCACTGTGTGAATTTTTGCATGTTTGTTTAAAGCTATTCATTTGACATACATGATTATGTATTTGGATATAACATCTATGCTACAAATGTTGAAATATGAACATAGTTTGTTTTGTACATCAATACAGTTGTGGTGTAAAAGATGAGTCTTTGAAATGATCAAATGTAAGGACATACCTGTGTGACACTTTTGGAAGTATAGTTCTGTCTGTCTGTCTCTCTGTCTGTCTCTCTCTCTCTCTCTCTTCATGTGTGAAACTATCTATGTGTGTGTGCATGAATATGTATATATAATTATTATGCATGTGTTGTGATTTGGATTATCCTCACGGCATTCCGCAGGTGCTCAGATCCCCCCTTCAGCGTGTACACCAGCGTCCCAGTCCTGTGTTGGTTGACAAGACTTCTTGTGTGTCTGGTGTGTTTCTCCTACCTGGCTGTGTCGATCTTTACTTCCAGTTCTGTCACTCTTAGCAAAGATGTAAATTTGCTGCTCCCAAAATCCACCGATCGTCCTAACTCTCTTATAGCATTAACAATGTCTGCATGATCCATGGGCGGGCCCTCTGTAACTAAGGCAGAGCCGGCTAATATGTCGGCTCTTTCATTGCCAACAACACCTGCATTCCGTGTGACAAAGATTAAGCTGGAGTTTTGCAATGACTCGATCGACTGTCTGTGTACAGTCTCGACCCGCCGTATCATGCTCATGAAATCACTCAGCATACACGCGTGAGAACAGCCCTGATCACTCAGCATACACGCGTGAGAACAGCCCTGATCACTCAGCATACACGCGTGAGAACAGCCCTGATCACTCAGCATACACGCGTGAGAACAGCCCTGATCACTCAGCATACACGCGTGAGAACAGCCCTGATCACTCAGCATACACGCGTGAGAACAGCCCTGATCACTCAGCATACACGCGTGAGAACAGCCCTGATCACTCAGCATACACGCGTGAGAACAGCCCTGATCACTCAGCATACACGCGTGAGAACAGCCCTGATCACTCAGCATACACGCGTGAGAACAGCCCTGATCACTCAGCATACACGCGTGAGAACAGCCCTGATCACTCAGCATACACGCGTGAGAACAGCCCTGATCACTCAGCATACACGCGTGAGAACAGCCCTGCGATTCCAGTCATGTGCAAGCTGGTGTTACCTCCATCACCTCCCACTATCATCCTGCTAGTAGACGTACAGCTGGCACCAGTGGTCTCCTGGACTGATCTGCCTGTAGAACACGCAGTTAATGACCATACACATTTTGTATCCTCGTACAACGGACCCATTTGGGTAGATCAGTACATCCGCCTCATCTTAATTTTCATATTTAAGTGTGTGGACTTCTGCATTGACATCAAATGAATTCTGCTCCTGTCAAGCGTGACAACACAAGGAAAAGTTGCAGTTGAGTACATGTATCCATTCTTCGCCGACGCTGATGCCTGTATGACTGCAAACCCAGATGATATTGTCCTTTGCCATACCAAGCCATGATTTCCTCCTTTTTTTTAGATTGTTGCTCTTTTTTCCTTAAGAGAACATTGTGCAGAGGGTGCTTCAAATCCGAGTTTTATCTTCAGGAATGCACGAGTCCTTCAGATCTTCATTCTCTGATGCATTGTCGGAAATTCAAGAAAATATTGCTATGCAAGAGATGTCTCCTGTCACCCCAGAATAATACACATAGTTTCATTTTGTACCTTTTTTCAGTCCGAGTTTTGCTGACGGTAAGTATGACTAAAGCATATTCTATTGGAGAAAGAACCAGTCCCTGGAGCAGAAGCAGTCTCTGCTCGATGTTGGCGGTAACCAGGACCCTTCACGGGCTTTCGTTATAGCATGATCGACATGATCTTTGAAGGACAGACAGCGATCAAACTTCACACCCAGATACGTCATCGGGTGTGTTCGCCACTAATTTCCACCACTGGTAGGTCTGCCTTAGCCATATGCGTGGAGAACCATGATACTGAGGCTTTTGAAGGGTTGCCATGTGCAAAGGAGTCCACAAATGTATGGAGGAAAATAAAAAAGGAGATTGGGGACCCTGATAAGGTTCGCTCTGCATTGTACCAAGAGGATTGTGACAAATACAAAATCTCATGCCGCATAAGGAGGAAAATCTTTCATTGAACAAACTCCAAGCACACGATATAACCATGCTCAATCTAGACGGTTGAAAGAGGCAAATTTCATCAACAAACAAGACATTGGGAGGAGATGCGATAAGGTTCGCTCTGCATTGCATTGGTAATCTCTTGACGCTTTCTTTCATGTCGTTAGTCATCACAAACGACAGTTCTATATTCATGTTATCGTAACGAGAGTCAGGACTAGGGACAGTGGGGAACTCTGAGGTAATCCGGGACAAATGGTTATCGTGTCTGAGGACCAACATCCACTCATGATTAGCACCGGTCTCTGGAACAGTGCCGCAGCTAGCCAGTGAATGATGAAGGGGGATATTTTCAGTTGAAAGAGGATCTGCACCAGGCAGTCAAAGGGTACTCTTTAGTGCGCACTTTCTAAATCTAGTGCATCTGCACATGTCTCTTTTTTCGCCTGAAAACCTTCATAGACATCATGGGCGAAAACTGCAGCATTGAGCCATATCTCTTTTTTACGCCTGTACCCTCCAAAGTGTGGACGGTAACCTGTCAGTCCTTTCCAAGTCATCACTGAGTCTATGCCCTGCTATTTTCTCCAGAAGTTTGCTCAGTGTTCTGCGTCGTAATAATTCTGTAGTCGCTGGTCTTGAAGTGGTCTTTGTTTGGTTTCGGCAGCGGTAGTAAGTAGCTGTGTAGCCACTCTTCTTTGATCTGACCACTCTTGGATGCTTCCTTCGAATTCTCCTGCGAGTTCTGTCATGTCGTCCTCTGACATCTGCAAATGTTGCCACTGACGAGCACGGACCTTCCCGTAGCAGGCATAAACATTTACGATCGTGAACTTGATCTGAGTCAACACTCTGACTGCAGGCACCTGCAGGGCATCACTGTTCCATTCAGACATGTCACCCTCACATGCCAGCAAGTTGCCGCGAACCAGGAGGTGACGTCGATTGTAGAAACATTGAAAACCCGGTGCTATAACTTCCTCGTCGCCAATGCATGTTTCCTGCAAGACCACAATGTCACAGTGAATCAACTTAAAAACACTTTTACTTTATTTACCTAACTTTAAATGTTATTCTTGGTCTTCGTTTTATTACCGTTCCAATATCTTCCATGGCTCTGAGCAGCAAATGATTCAAGCGGCAGTTATTCACAACATATATTCTTGGATATTCTTCGAGTGGGTAAGAAAACCATGAGTTGTAAACCCTTTTTGTTCGAGTGACCCTTGGCCAGATTTAACAGTCACCCCCGGGAGTGGAACCCGGACCAAGGGAGTTCGTCACCCGGCCGCCGCGAGGGAGCTCTTCAGAGAGGTGTAAAAGAGCCATGCCTTCTCTGGGTGCATAACATATTACTAAATGTGTTCTTTGACAAGTATCCAACACTTTATATATAGACGATTCTGCTCTTTAGATTTACATGGAAAACACAGTTAACAACCTCAGAGTTACTTCAAAAGTATTAGAGATTTCCGCTCTCCTCCGAACTTCGTCCCCATATTATGGCGGCCAAACAAATACCTTAGCAGTGCCTCAATCGTGTGTAAAATGCGGAGTGCCTGCTGAGGAACAAATCAAGGCAAAACTAGGATTGCTTC